CCCCAAAATGGGGACAAAAACAGCCCCAAAATGGGACAATGACACCCCCAAAATGGGGGCAATGACACCCCTAAAATGGGGACAGTGACACCCCTAAAATGGGGACAGTGACACCCCCAGAATGGGACAATGACACCCCCGAAATGGGGACAAAAACACCCCCGAAATGGGACAGTGACACCCCTGAAATGGGGACAGGGACAAGGGGCTCCGGTGGCTCCGGGGTGTGGCCCTGCTCGGGGACACGGAGGTGACACGGATGTGACACGGATGTGACAGTGACACAGAGCTGGGACTGTCACACGTGTGTGACACGGATGTGACGGTGACACGGAGCTGGGACAGTGACACGGGTGTGACATGGATATCACATGGATGTGACACGGATGTCACATGGAGCTGGGACAGTGACACGGGTGTCACATGGATGTGACATGGATGTGACGGTGACACGGAGCTGGAACAGTGACACGGGTGTGACACGGATGTGACACGGATGTGACGGTGACACAGAGCTGGGACAGTGACACGGATGTCACACGGAGGTCACACGGAGGTCACACAGTTACACGGAGCTGGGACAGGGACACAGATGTCACACGGATGTGACACGGATGTGACAGTGGCACGGAGCTGGGACAGTGACACGGATGTCACACGGGTGTCACACAGATGTGACACGGATGTGATGGTGACACAGAGCTGGGACAGAGACACGGGTGTCACATGGATGTGACACGGATGTGACAGTGACACAGAGCTGGGACAGTGACAGATGTGACACAGATGTGACAGTGACATGGAGCTGGGAGAGTGACACGGGTGTGACACGGATGTCACACGGAGCTGGGACAGTGACACGGATGTCACGGTGACACAGAGCTGGGACAGTGACACGGGTGTGACATGGATGTGACACAGAGGTCACACAGTTACACGGAGCTGGGACAGTGACACGGGTGTCACATGGATGTCACACGGATGTGACGGTGACACGGAGCTGGGACAGTGACAGATGTGACACATGTGACAGTGACATGGAGCTGGGAGAGTGACACGGGTGTGACACGGATGTCACACGGAGCTGGGACAGTGACACGGATGTCACGGTGACACAGAGCTGGGAC